ATCGGCGTTGGTTGTCAAGCATTGGTTCTGGAGCTTCGACATATTTGGGTCATCTTAGTCACAGGTCGCTGATTGCTGCATTAGGAGTTATTGGATCTGTTGGAGCTGCTTTAGATTTTGGGTTGCGTCAGATATTTGGATACCCAGCATTTGGTTACATCGTGGATGTGAGATTTGATCCGATTGCGCGTTTGGGTTTCGGAGGCTCAGTTGATTATCGTTTGGGAGCTTCTGATTTTGTTCTGAGCAGGTATGTCACTTTTGACTCTCGGCAGGTGGAGAGTGTTGATCAGGTCATTTGGATATCGCAGCAGGTGGAGAGTGATCAGTTACAGATCCGTCGGCGATATTGGGGAAGAGTTGCATACTTTTCTATTTGTTTGAGGGCCTTTGGAGGCCGTTGGATGAACTACGTGAAGGCTTGATTCCTTGGGCAAGAGGATACGTAGGCAGTCAGTTTTGATGCAGCCGATTTGGTGAGCGACATCGACATTTGGGGTGAGTGTTCGCACTCCCGTTTGGGTCTCATTATGTGAGGCATTTGTTTGGTTGGTGTCGGCTCAGTTTTGGGAAAACTTCGCCGAGGTGGAGAATTGTGGAGAAATTTGGAAAATTCAGGTTTTTGCAGATTCTGTGTCATAAGTCGACTCATGCACAGGCATAAGTCGACTTATGGTAAGTCGACTTATACAGACTGTTAAGTCGACTTACGTTCTGCTCTGGATTGTTGGTTTTTTGCTCTGCCAAGTCGACTTATCAGGTCTGATAAGTCGACTTACGATCTGTTCTCCAGTTGTTGTTTTTCGCTCTGCCAAGTCGACTTATGCAGACTGTTAAGTCGACTTATGACGGGTTTTTTGGAAAGTTAGAGTTCCTATTTGCAGTCTGTTTGGGTTTCTGTTTTGGTATAAATACCAATACGATTTGAGGGTTTTGTAGGAGCAAATCTGGGGATTTTGGAGCACAGAAAAGAGAGATCTTTCTGAGCTATTTGTTAGGGTTATTGGTTGAGAGTTTGAGAGATTTGTTGGTGAGATTAGTTGGTTCGTTTGAGCGATTTGTAATCTCAATTTGTACTCTCCTTCTCTATTAGTGAAAACCCACCCCCCTTCTTGCCCCGTGGACGTAGGCAATTGCCGAACCACGTAAAACTTTGGTGTTTGTGTTTTGTTTGGTCTTTCTCTCGGCGTTTGTTGGTTTGGTTTCTCAAAGCATCATAGTTGGTTGTTTGTTTGGCTTCCGCGCCGTGCACAACATATAATAGTGCTTACATCCAACTTCATATACTTTGTATGATTTCATTTCTTAAAAATTTCAGCAGCACCTACCCGTTGTTCTCCCTGTACACTGTGCGGGTGTTATTATGCGTACTGACAACATATCAAAACGCAAAACAACATACGCTTATTGTACACGGAGAACAACAGGTATGGGCTGCCAAAATTTTTAAGAAATGAAATCATACAAAGTATACAAAGTTGGATGTATGCACTATTATATTCCTAACCCGTCCGAGAAGGACAGATCCAATAATTACAAATTTTTATACCAATTCATTTCTATTATAATATAAAGTGAACGATCAATTTCGAGTAGGAAAATATACCTCTTACCCAAATTTGACTCGTTCATCTAATATTATAACCTCAAAGAATTGGCTGTAATTATTGGACGGGAGTCTAGGGTTAACGTTATATTTTTTACCTAAATTGGATATATAACACATTATTATATAATATTGCGTTATATATCACTCTATTTTTTGAAAACTTTTTCTTCCATAACTCACACATTTACAAATCACAAACCTATATAATCACATTTGTACAATTCAAATCACAAACTGTTTGATAAACATGAGATCCTTGTGGGCTTAACTAGCAAAACAAGATAACAGAAATAGAAGTTGCCAATGAAGGAAAGGCTACAAACATCATTATAGACTCATAATAATCAAACACAAGCATTCAACTGTACAATAATGCCATTCTCTTAATTAAGTCTATAAGTTTCTAAGTAGAGAAATCATTGCTCTCCGAAGTGGGATCCTCTCCACCACCCAACGTGTTTTTTGAAGAAATATTTCAATCTTCATAACAATCACCAATTGTTTAGCAGACTGTTAAGATTTGTCTTGAACAGTAAAAAAAAATGTTTCAAATTAAGTTAACATCACCGTGCCGGAGTTTTTCTAGGGCTTGAGAAAACTTGGGTTCTCAAGTTTGAACATTGATTAATCAATTTGATGGTGAGGCGTCGATGGGGGTTACAAAGTTTTGAGCAAAAACCCCCTCAGCGGCTTCATGTATACAATAAAAAAAGAGGCCTCTCTAGGATCAAGAGGATAGCTCTGATACCATTTAAAAAAATAGAAAAAGCCAAGATATTATTCATCTTACCTTAACCTCTCTTAAATAGAGGTTGGACATTACAATATAGATATGAGATAAAATCATATCCAATTATATCTCCCACTATGTCAACAATATCTCCATAATATATACCTTAACAAAAAGCATTTACCTAAATTCATCAAATGTGGTCATATAATGCAAATTGGATTCATCTCTATTGTTTTTCACTCGACGAACCTAAATTCATCAGATGTTGTCATATAGCATCCAAATTGAGTTCATCTCTATTGTTTTTCACTCGACAAAGTCATATATGGTCCTTCAATGACATCGTAAATATTTTATGTTAAAATCACCATATGAATACAAATCTAAAGCCTTAACAAAAGAGGAAGTGCCACTATTCCATTGATCCAAACAGAATCAAGTAAACTTTTGATCCAAACAGAATCAAGTAAACTTTCACCGGGTCGTCTTCAACAAACGATCAGCCGTTAACTTTCACCTCATTTTCTCAAATCACATGTTACTTACTCGTTTTACAATGACCTTTTTCTTTAAAAATCATAAGCTAAACTTGCAAGAAGGACCAACTAATTCATGTACAAATTGTTAGTGACGAAAAAAAAACTGTACTAGAAAAATTTCTCCAATACAATACAAATAAGAGGATAATGGATAGGTGAGCATAATTTTCACATATGGAATCTTGCTGAATAGGTTTGAGAAAACTAGGGTTTGAGAAAACAAACCTCACCGTGCCGGAGTTTTCCGACAGAGGGGGACGACGGGACGGCGAGGAAGAAGGTGACGACGGGACGGCGACGGCTTCGACGGCTACGACGGCTTCGACGACGACAGAGAGGGATTCTCCGAAGAGATCCGAAAGGCGACGGCTTCGACGGCGACGACGGCGACGGCGAGGCTGTTGAATGAGATCTGAGGACTCTGGCGACGACGGGCCAGATGATCGCGATCGAGAGAGAGAAAGGCGAGCGAAAGGCGATCGAGAGAGAGATTTGGGGATTTAGGGCTCGAGCTGCGGGTTTTATGAAATATAAACTGAACCTATAGCTTCTTGACGGAAATTTCCGTCTGCAATACTATTACAGACGGAAATTTCCGTCTAGGATAATCGGTAAATTTCAAAAAAAAATTTAAAAAAAAAAATCCGTCTGCAATACTATTACAGACGGAAATTTCCGTCTAGAATATAATATTCTAGACGGAATTTCCTCGACAGAAAATTTCCGTCTAGAATAATGTATTCTAGACGGAAAATTTTCCGTCTGCAATAATCCGTCTAGGATATTCATTATTCTACTAGTGAGTGTGATATGGCACGCTCCAGCACCTCTCCATTATTTGCATTCCTCCTTGCATTGGCTCTGGTCTCTACCCCCTACGGCGCAGAGGGCGTGATCACGCTGCCGGAAGTCATGACGTTGCTCTACCGATGCTTAGGCTATTACTCCGGCTCTGGAAACCTGACAGAAGAGTGCTGCAACGGTATCAGGGGATTCACATCATTTCTGAAGAACCCCGCTGAACGCGAGGAGGGCTCTAATTTTTATGCCAAGCATATAGCTCCTCTTATTGACACCGTCGACGAAAGCCTGATAACAAAAGTCAGTGAGACTTGTGGTGTCAACCTTCCATTTCCCCGTGGCTCGCCTATTAACTGCTCCATGCATGTAAGCATCATTCTCTACTGAGGTTGCATATAAAACCTGTATCTATTTTATTAGCTATGAATGAAGCTGGTCTAACTTAACATTCTTGATTAATATTTCTTTTGCAGTCTTTACAAAGCTATGCAGATGAGCTGTAAGAATAAAGTGAAGGCCATTCTGTTTGTCTTCGGTTGTTCGATGTCACTCTTGTTCACTCTTGATGTTGAGACCTACGCTGCAGGTTGTCTTCCTAATAAATGATGCATGGTTTTCTATGAAACACTGCAATCTTTCTCTATTTAATTTTGTTCTTGTACCTTTATTAATGGGGCCATGTAAGCTACAAATTAAGTTCATCTCTTAAATCATAACCATCCGAAAAAGAAAATTAATTTATCATATTATTAACTTAATTCATAATGGAACTGTCATGTAAAAAAGAAATTGTCTAGCGGAACAACTGCAGCGCCACTACTACAAAAATATCCTATAAGAAATGATTCAATCTATTTCTAAAAGATCTATTTGCAACAGAATTTAGACCATGTTCCTAATAAATCAGTAACTGTTAAAACCATTACAAATAATCTGTTACAAATTATAAGACTGTTGCAACAGTTGAAAATTATACAATCGGTGCTTTAGAGTATTTTCTTTGGGGGTTAGCTGCACATAAACACATTATATAGTGTCGGTGTTTTGAACTAACTACCATTGTAGTTTCATATATTGTTGCAGATGGACTGATCCCTGTATGGAATTATGGCGCCCTGGATGAAAGTATTAGTGAGTCGATCCAAAGGGAAAAGAGTCAAAAAAAAAATAAAAATAAAAAAATAAAAATAAAAAAATAAAAATAAAAATAAAATAAAATAAAATAAAATAAAATAATAATAACGAAAGGGTCTACCTGCAGCAGTTAAACTGTAAGGATAATAAGTTTAAAGTACAAATACTACATCAGCCCATTTCAAAGCCCAATCTATTTTTAGCCTAGGGAAAATAAAAGCCCAAATCCATTTCATCTAAACCCAAGACAATGGAAGCTTCTCAACAAATGTGGAAGAAATATATTTTTTAAGAGAAAATTGTAGAAGGATGTAGAAAGAATATCTTTTAGGAGAAATGTGTAGAATGTGGTAATAATGTATGATTACGATTGATTCTTCCACACACTTCCTAGCCCTCTTAAGCAACTATAAATAGGGGTCTTGGGCTCTCATTTGTGTAAGCAAACAAGAAGTAAGCTTGAAAGCTTGTGTGTGTAGTGTAGGCTTGTGTGAGTGTTCACCAAAATAAAAGAGTTGTGTGAAAGTGAGGTGCTCTTATAAGAGCAAGTATTGTACTCTCTAGTGGTCTATCAATAAAAGGTTTGTTTGTGTAGATGGTTGTATTCTTCAAATTCCATCAAAGTGGTATCAGAGCAAGGTTCGATCTAGACGAGCCAATCGAATGTGCTCGTGTACGAGATGGCGATCATGATCCAACCACAGATTCCGAAGCTGATGAAGACCAATTACGACAACTGGAATATCCAGATGAAAGTCTTGCTCGGCTCGCAAGACTTGTGGGAGCTCGTGGAGAATGGCTACACTGAACCAGAGTCACCTGTAGCAGAAGCAACTCTCACCGCCACACAGAAGAGTGAGCTGAAGGAGGTCAGAAAAAGAGACAAAAAGGCTGTGTTTCTAATATTTCAAGGCGTAGATGAATCAGCGTTTGAGAAGATTTCCAACCCCCTGTCCTCTAAAGAAGCATGAGAGATTTTACAAAAATCCTATCAAGGTGCGAAAAGATCCAAAAAGGTACGCCTCCAAGCATTAAGAGTTGAATTTGAAAATTTAAAGATGAAAGCTACAGAATCAATATCAAACTATTTTAGTAGAGTTCAGACAATAACTAATCAAATGAAGAGAAATGGAGAAGCAATTAATGATGTAAGAATTATGGAGAAGATACTTAGGACTTTAGACTCTAAATTCAAATATATTATTCCGGCAATACAAGAGTCTAAAGATCTTTCCAAAGTTTCTATTGATGAGCTACAAGATTCTCTACAAGCTTATGAACAAGATATAAACATCAGTTCAAATCAAGCGGAGAATCTAGAGCAAGCATTGCAGAGTAAGATGACTATCAAAGAAGATAGTCGAAGAGGATGTGGAAGCTACAGAGGCAGAGGCTCTTTTCGAGGTGGCTCAAACTTCCAGCAAGGTCGTAGGAGAGAGTACCAAGGAGGCCATGAAAATCAAGCTCGAAATGGAGATCGTGAACGATCGTTCGATCGAGGACGAGGTCGTGGCGCACAAGGACAAGGACAAGGAAGAAGTTACCAGTGTTGAATATCATTTCTCCATGATAATGTTTTGATGATAACAATTTATATTTTGTGTGCACTAACTT